ATATGCTGCCACCCAAACAACATCCTCCCCAGAGAAAGCATTCGGCGATATAAGGCCAAACCACATAACGACAGTCTCTGTGTCATGTCTGCAGTTAAGAACACTTAGCTGTTAATTTATGCACATGAAGACCTACCCACGCAATAATATCACCTTTTTAGAATGTTTTAATAGGAAAATCTGCCAAAACGATGGAATATGCAACACCGCCTCACCATATCACTTTTGGTTTAGGAGAGCCAAAGGTCTCACACTCCAGTAAAGCCTTCTGGCCCTCTGTATACGCATATGTATTCCCATCATCGGTGAGGATCTGGGGAGGCAGCTCTGAAACATCCCACAAAGACAAATGAGATGCACAGAGAACAAACTCAAAATCCAGTTAAACAAACAGCACGTAACAACTAGCACTCACCGATGACATAAACATTGGTGTTCGTGAGGATAGTTCCATGTTTATTGGAGGCCCGACACTGATAGATGGCAGTGTCTCCAAAGTTCACATCCTCTAGGATCAGAGATCCGCTTGCTGTCAGAGTACGCCTAGGGTCCTTATCAACTCCTGTTGAAGAGTACACGCTGTCAGTACATCTTAAGTGCCAGGAGATGGTGGTGGCGCATGTTAAGGTGTGTGCACTGACCTGAGATGGGGACCCCGTTGATGGTCCAGCTGATGAGAGGAGAGGGAATGCCATCTGCCTGACAGTCTAATCTGACTGTCTCACCTGGGGCATATAGCTGACTGACCGGCTCCTTGATCCAATAAGGTGCAGCTGCAAGTGACAGAATATATCAGCCCCGAATAGTACAAGCAAAATACTATAAGACTGAGTTTCTACTACCTACAAATCAACAAAAGCACAAAAAAATGAAGCAAGTGATCACAACACTGCTCTTTGTCAAAAATGTTGATTGAAAAAAGGTCATGGAGGGAGCTTCACAACACACGTTTTTTTAATATAAAACCCTATGACATCACAAAGAGGCCATACACTTACGCAAAAATAATATAAGCACCTTGAGGCAACTGTTGTTGTGATTTGGTGCTACATAAATACAACTGAACTGAATTTATTGTACAGTTATAAGCTTTTCTAAGCGACTTGAGCCCTCAAACCGTGTGAGTGTCTGTCTTCTTGTGTTTTTTGTTATTGTTGTAGAGACAATCAGTTTACAGGTTGTCATGTTATGTGTCCCACTTCCCGCACACCCCAAAAGGACGCCACGCTTGCCTAAATCAAGCATTGTGTTTCTAGCAGCAAGAACATATCTAATATGGCAGATCTCCAGCTTTGTGCTTCATGTGAGAAAGAGCAACTGTGGACAATGTCCTGACCTAATTCTTCCATTTTCCCTATTTCTGTGTCTAATCCAATACTCTGAAGTAGGAGAAAGACCGCTGTGTCT